TGGTGGGCCAGTTGTAACGATCAGTTTGTACCTCCCCTACGCTGCCGGACCGCAAACCAGACCGGCTCTACGGAATCCAACTCCATGCTCGCCAATCTACTAAAACTTTGTTCCCCCGCTGTTGTTCTTGTTGTTGTTGTTCCCTGGCTGCGTTGGGCCGCGCGCGTTGGCGGCGGCGTGGGCTTGGCCGGACCATTTTCGAGGGGGAATCAGAGCTTGAAATATTTGTACTCTTCCCGATTGTGTTGCTCTTTGCCGGACCGCGAGGTGGGGTGGGGCGGGGCGGGGCGTTTCGGAGCGCCCTACAAGTGGCGTGGCGGGGCGTGGCGGGGCGGGGGCACGTGCGAGGAGTCCGCGTGCTCCCTTCGGACGCCGCCCGAGGGATGGCCTCGGGATTCATTAATCTCCCCGGCCTGGCCGCTTCACGCCTTGTTAACAGCCGCCGACAGGCCACGCCGCACTACACTTTATTATTGTTCGCGGAAATAAAAAAAAAATCAGAGGGCGAAGAGAAAAGGCCGTGTTCTGATGATTGGAATGTGATCGCCTTGTTGTTCTAGTAACACAGAAAATGAAATGGGCCAACAACGTGCTCCATCAATCATAGTTTCAGTCTGTCACGTGAATGGAGATCTACGATCGTAATTTTTCATCGTCTTTTATTTTACCTTTTCTTTACAAAACGAAAGCACAACAAGCTACAATGGAAGTAACAAACACGACATAACAGCTCAGCTCTGTCGAGACTCTCCATATACAGTAACTGTAAATCTTACAGGGTTTTGGTACGGGGTAGTTCAAAGCCTTATGTTTGCTTTCAAGAGAACTTATGCGATGCTCCTCCAATCGTTCTCGCTAATCTGCTGCTTGAACTTAAGAGTTCGATCAAAGTATCATCTATAAATTATTGTTATTACTGGCAACACTAAGTCATGAGCAATAGATCTAAACGAATCATCGACAACACAAATTGGTGTGGGTTTATATATATTCACCTCAACTAAAAGGAGGACATACGTCTGTCAAATGTTTTTCAATGACTTTGAGCAATCCCCCGATAATTCACGAGTTGGAAAAATTCGAGGGTTTGTTGATAGTTTTGATGATAGTTTTGGTACTACCAGAATCAGCAAACACGACGCATGCGAAGTAAAGACAACGGAAACAGACACGCTTCACAAATTCATAATTAGTGGGAGATTTGAATCAGCTTTTTCCGCTTAAAGCAAAGTGTATGGTTCACAGATCGAAACATTATAAGCTCACCTAACAGGACTAGAACATCATATTTACAAAATTATGTGAAACATCACACGGAGGATCAACAATTGTATATAAAATATATAAGTAAAAGGCAACAGTCTTCGAAAACGACCAAATGGCTGTTTGGTGTTTTCGGTTGCGTATCAAAACTATTGTAATTCACAACTTAACCAGAAAGCATTTTGCAACTGCGAGACCGTCTTAACAGTATAAGAATTATGAATAATACTTGTATTTTTACTAATTTATCATAACGGAAAACAACATTTACATAGCTACATCTATTCTACACTTTTGTCCAAGCTATATTACAAGAATTACATCTAGTTATGGTGCTCCACAGCATTTCAAACTCGCAAAGCGAGTCGTGAGTACTTACTAAGTGAACAATCCATATTGAGCTATATTTGATACATTATAATTGTATTGAACAGGCCAACTAATTACAGCGTGAGGTCTTTAACACAACTTTGGACAAATACATCGCATAACAATGAGACCTCCTCCTGATGAAAATAATGTCTTGGTAATTCCAAGTTCCAGGAACATGATTCCACACGATTTTCTTCGCTGAGGTACTCGTCTGCGCGCTTGCTTAACGCATCTAGAGCTTTACAACAATCTATGTTTGGCTACTTAACTACGTGGCACATATTAACATTAGAACCCAATCTACGAAATTCCATTGCCACCCCTACAACAGCAATGTCTTTAAAAAATAATAAAGCGAAACTAAAACTGAGTGTGGTGCATTATGTTAAAGGCCTACGAAAATTTAATAAACACCCGATGAGGCTTCGTTTATGAATAACTCAAAATGCCATTCGACGGCCATCGAGATAGAACGAGAATTAGCCTGCCTTTGATGACAGATAGCAAAACCGACGTGAGTAAATGCCACACACCAAGAGAGAGAGGGGGAAATAGAGATAGAGTTGGTCATTTTCGCCCGTATTCCCCCTTTTTTTTGCGACATTCGCACACGACAGACTCCTCCCTAATATTTATCTCAATCCAAGAGGCGCCCGCGGCGGGCTGCGCGGCCGCCTTCCCGACCAACGCGACCGAGTTGTTTTACCATCCCTATATATTTACCGCCCGCACGATTCCCATGAAATTCTATTTAACGGAAAGTGAAGAGGTATAAATCAGGCGATGGGCCGCGATAGGTAATGGGGTTGGCGCCCCGCGCCGCCCCTCCCGCTTTGGCACATCTCCAGCGGACCCTTACTCTCTCTTTCGCTGTCATGGCAACCAATCAAATCTTTCCCGATAACTGGGAGGTGGGGATGGTTTTCTCCTGGAAAAGTGGGGCGGGCGGCGACGCACATTTTCCTCGTACTCAATAATTGATATTTCATCTCGGGGGCGATCAACCTCAACTCCGTCGTGGCCGCCGTCTCCCGGATCTCCCGGTCTGTCGCACCTACAGTGCTGAGGGGAGAGGCTTGTTGTTGCTTGTTGTAATGGTCTCAACCACGCACACTTATCCGCGCCGTCTTGGCAGAACCTTTGGCAGTACTTGGCAGTACTTGGGTCGGGCAGTTTGTAGGCGCCTGCGCGCGCGCCCGCCCCAGGGCCCGTCGTAGGCCCGGCGTCCAGGCGGCGCCCGGGACGGCCTCACGCCTCACACGTCCTCGGGCTCGGCGGCCGGCGCCTCGCACGTCATGAGCCGGAGGCGCACCTCCTCCGGCGACGACCCCGCCGCGTCGTGCGCCAGGCCGCCGTTCACCGCGAGCTGCTGGTCCCGCCACGGGGTCGTCAAGAAGCAAATGCGCTGCAACAAAGATGCGACAAATTGTCAAGTCATGCGGAGCAGGCTATATACAGTTTTGTGAAGAGACGGGCTGTGTGCGGAAAATGTTGGATCCACCAGCCACTTTTCAATAGAATCTACAGTGACACTGCCAGACCGCTCCGCCGCCGCCGTGCGGGGTCTGGGGTGCTCACCTGCCAGAAGGTCCCAGGGGTGGTGAGAATCTTGAAGGCCGCGACGCCGGGGATGCAGGCCACGCTCGAGCCCGCGATGAGCCAGCCCAGGACGTTGGCCCAGCCGGGGTAGATGTAGTTCTCGTAGGTAAGGGGCTCGTAACCCACCAACCCGTACACGATGATAAACTGCGCAAAGAGGAGGGGATACCCAGATATACAGCATATAATTGCAGTGATTAAAGCAGGCATGACAACAACCATATGTTTCGCGCGTCGGGCGTCAAACTGTCACCCCTCGCGGCAAAAACATGACATGCTGCGGGCCCCGCGAGGCGCCGCCGTGGTGGCAGTCACGATGAACGGGCGGCGGTAAACGCGTCGGAAGCCACCATACGTCAAAAAAGTTGCAGCGCGGCGCCGCCCGGTATAAAATTATGAACAAGTTTGCTTTCCGCCTCTTCCGCCTCCGCCTCCGCCTCCGCCTCCCCCGCCTCGACCTCCTCCAGCCTCGCGCGCGCTGAGCGATGACGCACCATCAGGAAGATCGGGGCCGCGAAGCGCCAGCAGACGCGCCAGTACAGCCCAGGTGCGAAGCCGATCATGTCCTTGATGTCGTCGCAAAAGCGCTGGGTCCCTGCGAAAAATAAACCCGGTGTGACGGCTGACGTGACAGACGGTGGTGGTGGTGTGTTTTATTGGTTTCATGTCAATCGGACGTTTGCGTCCCTCACCGTAGATCCACGACACGGCGATCGACTCGAAGAGCACGGCGAACAGCATGGAGTACCCCGCCGCGTACCGGTCCAACAGGTGGAAGAAGTAGAAGCCGCCCTGCGAGCACGACGCCAGCCCCACCACGAAGTACAGCGAGAAGAGGGCCAGCACGAACAGCTCCCGGTGGCGGCCGATGACGGGGAACTCGTCGCTCAGCGCCGTGATGATCGCCTCGGAGCCGCCAAACTGTCAAACAAATTTCGAAAGTGCCCATGTCACGCTGTCTCTCTCGGTCCGTGCTGGCCCTCCCCGGACTGACTGCGGCCGCCGTGGGCCAGGGGCGCGATACTCCGCGCTGCGAGTGACGGGGAGGGAGGCGCGGGACCCTCCCGCTGCGCGGGGCATCGGCGGCCGCCGCCTCGCTACCCCCCGCGCCGCGCACACCACCCCACTCACCGAGCTGTCCAGCCCCAGGGTGAGCAGCATCATGAAGAAGATGAGCGCCCAGAAGATGGAGCCCGGCATGGTGGAGATGGCGGCCGGGTACACGATGAACACCAGCCCGGGGCCCTCGGTCGCCACGTCCTCGATGTTGCGGCCCGACACGAGCGACATGTAGCCCAGCACCGAGAAGATGACGAAGCCGCTCACGAAGCTGGTCGCCGAGTTGATGAAGCTGGTGAGCAGCGCGTCCCTGGCGAGCGAGAAACGAAGAAAAGTGGGGGGGGTGAGAACACGTGCAAAGAAAGGTGACCGATACGTCAGCAACAAGTCCTCAAAACTTACTTGTACACGTTGTTGTGGTACTTGTTGTAGGAGGCATACGCCAGTAGCACCCCAAATCCGGGTCCGAGAGAGAAAAACACCTGAGTTGCAGCGTCCACCCACACCTGGAAAAAACACACGGACAGTTATTTGACTGCACAAATCCAAAATGAAGGGGGAAGAGTGTAGGATATTCATCTCTTCTTTTCGCGCAAGGACCACGCTGTGGTCAGGCCTTCGCAAGAGAGGAAAGGGGGGGGGCGTGGCTTGGCGCTGGGTTTGGAGCTTGGGGGGGAGAGAAGCTTGAAAGTGGAAAGGCGCTCGAATACTTTTCCTTGTGTCGTTTGCACAATGCCAGGGCCATTGTCGCGAGCGGGACGTTTAGAGGGACGGATTCATATGCAAAGGTGGGTGAGCGTGCGGAGCCGCTGAGCCAGCCTTGGAGGCGCGGTGGGGCAGGGCGGGGCGGAACGGGGCGGCTCTCTCCCTGCGATATAACGTCCGTCGTCACCGCCACCGTGATCGCGGAAATATGAAGAACGGGGTTCCCGCGACGGGGAATGGAGGGGAGGGGAGGAAGGAGGAAGGGAGCGCCAGATTTACACGGAATATCCATCGTGCAGCCTCGGCGTGACCGGAATGGCGAGCTGCGGGCCGCAACAAGTGGCCAGACTGGCCTGGCCTCGCCGCCGTCACGGTGCGGGGCGTGCAGGGCGGGGTGGGGCGGGGCCGGGCTACCTACTCCACCGCAACGGGCGAGTCCCCAGCTCACACGTGAAATGCGGGCTGGAATAATGGAGCCGTATGACAAGGCTCGTTGCCTCAGGTGAATCGCAATCGAGTCCTCACCCAGTCGACTTCGCCCCGGGCGGGCAGTCTCGCGCTCCACCACACCATAATTCCATAAACGCATTACTGGCACGCATTATTTTCGATCATAATGGCTTCGCATATTTTTCATTTTATTTTCCCCACAAAATGGTCGGTCTTCCATGTTATTCGGGCGAAAGAAGTGCTCCTTATTTTTTGTCGCATCGTCGTCGTTGTATACCCTCACCTCCGCCTTGGTGATGGCGGAGAAATTGGGGTTGAGGTAATACTTGATGCCCTCGGCGGAGCCCGGCAGCGTGACGCCGCGCACGAGGAGGATGGCGAGCACGGCGTAGGGGAAGAGCGCCGTGAACCACACGACCTGTGACCAGAAACAAAAACACATAGTTATGATATCCAGCAAACGGCACACTTTCTCTAAATATAATGCGGTAGTGTACAATAAAGTATCATAGTGTACGGCCTGCGCCACCACGCCCGAGCAACACGACACCACAAAGCGCTACTACTGTTGCCGGCCGGACTGCTAGGCTTTTTCTCCGGACGAGGCTCACACTCCACTCTCCCGTGGAGGTGGAGCACCCGCCCCGCCCCGCCTACACTCCGCCCCGCCCGCGGTCCTCGTCGGCGTCCTAATTGCAGCGGCAGACAGCCGGGCAAGGAGCGCCCGCAGCGTAGGCCAGCCCGCATGGCTCCCGCGTCCGACGGGACTGCCTACCCCGCGGCCGCCAGGCGCTCGGCTGGCCGGGCATGGCCCAGGGCCGGGAGGGCAGAGGTCTGCATCGGGTGGGTTACTCAGTCCCGGGAGCGTCCGAGAGTGTCAGGTGCACACGAAATCCTTATTATGCATTGTGTTGTGCGTAAAACATGCATAATTTTATACAGATATAATATTATGCACAATTTTATGCGTCACTATTAACAGTTTGCGCATAATTATGCACTATTCAAACATAATAATGCATACAATTTGTGCAAACCTGGAGGTTATGCAGAATAAAATGTATAAGGGTTTAGTGTGCGAGAGAAAGTAAGAAGATGCTCGAGTCGGCCTGAGCACCATTTTCACTCGCGCGTGCGCTCCTGCCGGACTAGTCAGACCTCTGTGGGCAGAGCAGCAGGGAGGGGCTGGGCTGGGCAGTGGGCGCGGGGTGGAGAGAGGAGCAGTAATAATGCGCTTACTTTGCCAGACGTAGAGATGCCCTTCCACAGGCTGAAGTAGCAGATGATGTAGACGGCCAGCAAACACAGCGCCATGTCCCACTTGATGGAGCCCAGGTCGTGGATGCCGCTCGAGTGCTGCAGCTCCAGGACGGCGCGGCTGCAGCACAGCGACAACCACCATTATGACACAGTCGACACCGCAACTTTTCGTCGAAAGAGTAAAAAGAAAAAGTTGAAGTTTGTTCATTTTTGAGGGGCTAGGCCGACTTACTTGAAATATTCGGAAGCCGCGGAGGTGTAGTGGATGTTCTGCATGCCGTCCGAGGAGGAGGTCTGATTGAGTTCGGAGTCGGCAGCGGCGGCTGACTCGGAAGACGCCTGGGAGTTCTGGTACGCGAGGGAAGAGTTGACGGTGGCGTTGAAGATGCCATCGCTGCCCATCCACAAGGACCGTTCCATCTGCAGCGCAAATAATGAGGGGGCAAGTCAACAAGCTGCAGATGAAAGTCGAGGGGTACTTTACTAAAAAAAAATAGTGTTCACCGACTCAAAAAATCAGGAAAAAATAAGAAAAAACGCACAATTAAAACAAAGAAAAATCGGTGTTTTCATAGGAAACGACTCCTCGGCGGATGTGATCAAGGGGCGGTTGACGACGACTCACTGGTCTGCAGCTGGGGGTGTTCCACGGGTTGTCGCACGTCGTCCAGGGCAGCATGTCGGTGAAGGAGGCGAAGAAGAAGCGCAGGGCCCAGGCGATGATCACGTTGTAGTAGAAGTCAACATAGAAGGCGATCAGCGCCACGGCATACCCGATACCTGCAGCAAGGGGGTCTCTAACGCACCAGGCCAGGACACAACAGACATAGGGAAGGGAGAAGGGCGTTACTAGAAAATAGGGGTGGAGTGGAGGGGCACTCATCCATGTGAGTCGTAAACCAGAAAAATGGCAGACATTGAACAAGCGCCGTAGAGGGTCTTAGAGTGGGGCGAGAATTTGAGTGTGCTGAGTGTACGAGAGAAAGAGGTAGAGAGAGGAAAAGAAGGGGCCAGGGGCGGTTGGAGTAAGAATGGAGAAGAGACGGAGAGAGGGAGAGGGAAAGAGAGAGAGGGGGGGGCGACAGCCAGCAACAGCTGACCCGAGGAAGAGAGAGAGAGGGAGAGAGTTGTCAGCGCTCGGATTGGAAAGAGAATGCACAACGGGCATAAGGCGCGAGAATTCGTCGTGTGAAAGTGGCTGCACGGCGTTGGGGTCGCGAGCTGAGCCGCGGGCTGAGGGAGGAAGAGAGAGGGGGGGTCGGGGGGAGGGCTCCCACGACCCTCACTTATCTCAAATCCTTTCTATGGAGGGTGACCCCGCGCCGCTCCCCTCCGGTGCCCTGCGGCTGCTTCCGGCCCGAGGAGGAGCCACCAGAGGCCACATCCCTCCCCAGCCGCAGCCGGGGCTCCGTCAGGCCCCGCCAGGCCCAGCGGCGAGCCTAGCGGCGGCTCGGCCGGCTCGGCGCGGCCAGCACACAGGACAGGAGGCCCGCCGCAAACGCCTCCTCCTGCTGCTCCCTCGCCGCTCATTAGCTCGGCGTCCTGCTCCCCGCTAAGCGGCCGCGTCGCTCCACGCCCCGCTTAGCGGCGCCTCATACGGTGAGGAGGGTGAAAAGGGGGGGGGAGGGGGATACTGCCACAGCGCAGCAGGCCGGAGATGAGATCGTCGTCGTGGGAAGCGCGACAGACAGCTGACGGGTGGCGCGGGAGGTCGCGCGTCGTGAAGGCTGTGCCGGAGGCTGCTGGAGGCTGTGCTGGAGACGGTGCTCGACGGTGCCTGAGGGCTGCGCCGCTGGATGGAGGCCACTCTGGAGGCTGTGCTGGAGGCCGTGCTGGAGGCCGTGCTGGAGGCCGTGCTGGAGGCCGTGCTGGAGGCTGACGTGGAGCTGAGGTGCGGGGTGCGACGCCGACGTCGTCTTCGCGCACCGCACGCCGCACACCCGTACAACGCGTGCCGCCGACGCGACGCAGATGTGACCCTTTTTCCCTCACTTCCCTTCCTCCTCCTTTCCTTGCTCTCCCTTCTATTTCTCACTCTCTCGCACTCTCTCCCAGGCGGGCGGCGAGCACGTGATGAAATGAAAGGAAGCTGGAAATTCCCTTCTCCGCTCCGCTCCTTCTGCCGCCATCGCTAGCCCAAGCGACGATAATGGTCCGAGCGGGTCAGCTGTTGCTGGCTGTCGCCTCGTCTCTCTCTCTCTCTCTCTCTCACCCCATTTCCCCCCACCCCTCCTCAAATCCCGGTCGGCCCCTCCACACCGCACCCCTCCGCTTAGCCTCTCCATCTTCGCCCTGGTCTTGAGTTCCTGCAGAACATTGGAAGGCCCCGCCGCACATCCGGCCCGCTCAGGGTCTCGCCAGAATAGGGAGAGGGCGAGAGGGGACAGGGGGATAAGACAGACAGACAGACAGACAGACAGACAGACAGACAGACAGACAGACAGAAGAGCGGCAAGGCAAGGGGAGGTGGGCAAGGAGCGGGTATGCATTGGAACAGAGCAAGACAGGTGAGAGGTGAGTAAGAGAGAGAGAGAAAGAGAGAGAGGGGACGCACTGACCTTTAAACAGAGGCACTATGCGGCCCCAGCAGGTGATGGACCCCTTGCGGTGGAACTGGCCGAGGGCGAGCTCCATGTAGAACAGCGGGATCCCTCCGACCAGCAGCATGATGCAGTACGGCACGAGGAAGGCGCCTGCAAACCACACGACGGGGAAGTCAATCAGCAAAGCACACGCATGGACAATTAATTGAATAATCAGACAATAAAAGTAGTGTTCGTGTTTTGGCAAAGTCGCTGTTGCTCAGTGAGAGATTTCGAGAGATTTTTTTTTCGTTTCTGTCGCGCTGGTAATAATGGTTGAGAAGCACTTTCAAACTCGAGACGCCACCACACTGCCTTAGTCCCCTTTTCTACCCTACCGCTGCTGCTGGCTGCTACGACTCGACCGGTTCCGTCTCGATTCCTCGTCGTTGATCCCTTAAGTCTTCCGAAGGATCATTGCAGTGCCAGGTCTTTGCTGCGCGGCCTCCTCCTGTGCGGGGGGAGAGTGCGGAGGGGCGGCGGCAGAGAGGCGGACAGCACAGCAGCAGGCCTCCGGGGGCCTATCGGCGAGCGTCAGGGCCTCGGGCGGGGCAGCGCGGGGAGCAGGCCAATGCTCCACTCATTGTTTCTATTCACGAGCCGTGCGTATTACGGACACCGCTCTTAATTCCCGCCCCGCCACAGCCCGCCGCCGCTCTTCTGATAAAAGTCGTGCGTGTTTATCCTCTTGGCTGCGGCCGGCTCTGCCAACGCGTCGAGTTGTTCTTTCATTTGACTCGCCCCGGCGATAAGTTGTGTGTGTGTGTGTGTGTGTGTGTGTGTGTGAGATGGTGTGTGCGTGTATGTGTCGGGATGTGTGTGTGCTAAAGCACAGCAACCCGCCCTGTCCTGATAATAGTGTTCCGCTCGCATTAGGCTCGTCCACCTCGCGAGCACGAATACCGCCACAAGGGGTGTTTCAACCCCCACCCCAACCCCGTCCTGCGCCTCGCGGGTTCAACACGATGGGCGCGGCCAGGTAGGCTGGAGGCTGGAGCCCGCGCCCGGCCCCGTCGACCGACGGCGCTCCCCAAGGTAATCACCAACGGCTGAAGATCATTTCATTTCTGAGATAGGACAGCAGCTTTGGAGGGGGAGGGGGCGGGGCGGTTAAGCAGCTAAATCGCAGGACCAGAGGATAGGCCACTCGGAAAAGTGAAGTCGCCGTTCGTCGTTCGTCTGGTGCTCGCGGTGGCTGGAACTGGAGTAGGTTGAGGAAGGGGAGGAGGGGGTGCTACCATTCTGGCGAAAGTATAACACTTGAGATCGGCCTCTGGAGCAGCAAGGCAGCAAGGCCGACCAAACCATGAGGAATAAGTGGACAAGGGTGGCAGCCGAAGCAAAGGGCCCGAGGGGCGGGAGCGGGGGCCTTGTAGAGGGGGGGGAGTGTGAATGAGGTAGGGGTGGCGACGGTAAGCGGAGCGCGGGGAGAGGGCCGGGCGGAGCGCGACTTGGTCCGGAGGGGTGAATTGGTGGGGGCGGGGGGCAGGCTGTGGTTGCTCGCCGGTGCTGTATCATACAGCGGGCGACGGCGCGTTGCGACGAAATGACGCTTGAGGAAGGAGGGGATGAGGGTCGTGATGCTGAACCCTTCCGTCCTCCTCGGCACACGGACACGGCCCCCCCGGCTCAGGCTCCATCCATCAGCAGCCTGCCGGGCGGGGCGGGGCGGGGCGGGGCGGGGTGTCCTGCTGGCCACGGGCCTGGCCCCCCTCGAGGGGTGTTGGGGGAGGGGGGGGGACCGGCACCGCCCAACTGTGGGACCCGCAGCACCGGCACCAAGTTCGACAAGCCAGGAGTTAATGGCCGGCGCAAAAAGAGACCTCGTACCCCGGACATAGTTTGGGAGACCCCTGCTTCCCCTTTCCCATCATACCCCTCTACCACCCGCCCCGCCCCGTCGCGTTCCGTCGACCTGCCAACTGCGAGCAATTGTTACGAATAGTGCCGCGCCGGCACAGTTCGGGGGCATTACGAAATGCGTAAGGGCTCAGTTGTGTGTGTGTGTGTACAGTGCACAAAACCGCGAAGATGGAAATCGCAAGGACATCCCCCGGACCCGGACCCGGACCGATGTAACAGCGGGATGTGGTGAGGAGAGGGATGGGCGGGCGGGCGCTTAGGGCGGGCGGGGCTCCGGCGGGGCGCTACGGAGTGAGGGTGAAGTCCACAGCAGCCGCTCGTGCTGGCTGGGAGGCGCGGGGCGGCGACGGGGCCGGCAGGGTGTTCTGTTCTCTCCCCTCTCTCGGACGGCGATTCAAAAGCTCCTCCAGCGGCCGGGCCCAATTATAGACAGGAAACTGCAGTCCTCTCCTCCTTTTCCCCTCTCGTTGCTCATTCCAGCCCCCCCC